ACAACCAGATATACCACAAAGCCTGCCGACCATCCTACGCTTCACTCATTGAGCCACCTCAAAACGGTTTACGGGGGATGAAGGACTTGCAGTTGCAAATAGTCGACTCATCTTACTTCGTTGTGATTGTGCGCTCCCATCCCTGTCACTTGATTGATTTTTATCTAAAGACCCCCGGGATGGAATTTGATGCGCTTTGTCACATATGATCATGACTATAATACCTTTCAAACAAATGTAGTTTAAGCCGTGGCGGACGTGGGTGCAGCGTCCATACATTTTTGCCCAATGTCCTTTGCTCCAAGGCCGCTGCATACGTGACGTGTAAATACTTCGGACGGGACGTGAGCAGGACGGGCACGTGATTATCTCGTTCAAAACGGGAGCGTGGTGCAAACGCTGTGACAGTGATTCGGATCTAACGTGCTAGTGTTGATTTTATGATTGGAAATGTAATTTTATAATTTTACTAGCTGACCCAGCGAACTTTGTACCGCCATAAAAAAATAGGGGTTGGTGGTACAAAGATGAAAATTTAGGGTTGTATGTATTTTTGTATGATGTATCATAAAAAAATAATATCTAAAATTGAAAAATAAAATTTAGGTGTGGATTACCCTTAACATTTAGGGGGATGAAAAATAGATGTTGTCCGATTCTCAGACCTACCCAATATGCACACAAAATTTCATGAGAATCGGGAAAGCCGTTTCGGAGGAGTTTAACCACAAACACCGCGACACGAGAATTTTATATATTAGACTAGCTGACCCAGCGAACTTCGTACCGCCATAAAAAATAGGGGTTGGTGGTAGAAGGGTGAAAATTTAGGGTTATATGTATTTACTAATGCTGTATCATAAAACAATAAAAAAAAAATATCTAAAATTGAAAAAAAAAATTGGGGGTGGATTACCCTTAACGTTTAGGGGGATGAAAAATAGATATTATCCGACTCTCAGACCTACCCAATATGCACACAAAATTTCATGAGAATCGGGAAAGCCGTTTCGGAGGAGTTTAACCACAAACTCCGCGACACGAGAATCTCTTATCTATTAGACAAGTCCGTCTGTCTGTGGTGCTGTTTCAGCGGCCAAACCGTAAGAGATAGATAAAGAGAATATTTAAGTTATAAGTTAAGAATAGTCTGATAAGACTACAAACCGGATTTGAGTAACGTAGCACTTCCGGTTTTCGAGAAATCAGGTTTTGGTGAACATTTGGTTCACTGGTTTGCTAGTTTTATATATTAGATTAGATATTCTTGGATCAACGCGTCATTACAGATCCTGTTCGGAATGAGCAGAACAGAGCGACTGTGCTATGCATACGTAGCGAAACCACGAGCGGGACGGGGCACGCGCAGGGCGTGATGGGACGGGGACGTGCAAAACATCGTCCGCGACGATATTTTTCCCGTCTACGTTCCCGCCCCGTCCATGTACCCGTGACAGATGCGTTTTTGGATACATTGTGTATCAAACGATGTTTCCAAAACTTCCTTTCCCGTCCGGATAAAAACTCGTCACGTATGCAGCGGCCTTTAGTCAAGCTATGAGCATTTGCTCATACATAATTGTGGCGCGCCTGCCCACAAGTCTCTGTCTGTGTTCTGTGGTTCTGACTGACGCGACGGGCAATAAATTGCCATCATTTTATACTAAGGCGTAAAAGCTTATCATCATCATCATCAGCCTATTAATGTCCCCACTGCTGTGGCACAGGCCTTCCCTATGGATGGAATAGGGAGATTGGGCCATGACCCACCCACCACGCGGGCCCAGTGCGGATTGGCGGGTGCTAATGACTGCAGATGCAGCCGGGACCAACGGCTTAACGTGCCTTCCGAAGCACGGCTTATACTTACTATTAAATACAATTGAAATATTTGTGTTGATTATTTTGAAGAAAGACCTGGACTAATTTATTCCAGATAAGGTTCTTGGAGAAGCTGTTCAAGAAGACCAGCGTTTAGAAGGTAATCGCCCGCCTGATTGTATAACGCGTGAGAAACGATACTGCGACATCAGAAAATACTATCACATAAACACGTATGCAAACAATGAATAACTTCCATAGTTATCTGATTAGGATCTTAGCTGCGAAGGCAACTATGAAGTTTTGTAAGCTACGGAATTAGCAATATTTGTTGATTGTCAATTTAACATTAGGTATGGACATACTGCCGTCCTAGTGAAGAATGCAGTAAGGAGCATCGACGTGATTTTGAGAAAAGGGCTTTAAAAATTAAAAAGAAAATCATGATGAGCATTCTTCACTAGGATGACAGCGACAGTCTAGAAGCTAGAAAGCTTTTCGTCATTTCTAATCTGCTAATCTGCGCTCACAGTAGTCATGTGTATAGATTTCTTCTTCAAATTAGGATTGTTACAAACTTTAATGCAAAAATAGTTAAACCCAAAATTGTAGAGCACCACGTCGCGCCGCGCACGACAGTCGGGTGACGCCCGTGACGCAATTCTGTTTCATCTTTGCCTTTAAGTTATACTAGTTGCCCGCCCTCGTTTTGCTTCGGTGTAGAGCTGAAGTGTAGACTACAGTTTTTGTTCTCAGGCTTGTATTATACACAATGACATTCATCTATGATTCTTCTTATACCTGCATGCAAAGTCTCAGCTCGATCGGTTTAAAATTGGCAAAGTTTCATACAAACTTTCATTCCCTTTTTTATCCCCTTGGGGGTAGAATTGATCAAAATCCTTTCTTAGCGGATGCCTACGTCATAACATCTACCTGCATGCCACATTTCAGCCTGATCCCTTCAGTGGTTTGGGCTGTGCGTTTGTAGATCACTATGTCAGTCAGTTACCTTTGAGTTTTATAAATATAGATATCTAATATTTTATGTTATTTTAATTGATCCAAGCGATCCAAGACCCAATTACAAATAGATTTCAATCTCATCTCAATATCATCTCAAATTTTATTTTAATTTAAGATTGAAAAATACATAAAGGTACATATAAGTAGAATGAAAAGTTACCTCCTCAGTTGCCATGTTTCGTCTTACTGCATTCTTTACTAGGACGACAGTGTAGCAGGGATGTTAGATGGGCACCTAGAAATCCTTGTGCCGAGCTGGCTGAAAGCTGGTATTCGAGCCGGGAAACTAGTACGCCTGTGCTCCGCTCTGCGGCGCTGCCAATTCTGGGAGCTGTGTGGGAAATCGCATCATCCCAGTAAAAAAAATGTACATTTCAATTTCGTAGACCGTTAATAGAGGGCAGTGATTATCGAACACACGCAAGAAATATACTATATATACTCGATTCTTTCATCAATTGAAGAATATTAATCGTTTATAAGCACGTACAATTGATTGTATTTTTTTTTTACATGAATCTCTAAAATTTGTCGATTATTCTATATTGTCAGTGTATTTTTGTCGGTCAACGGCCAATCTTGGTATTTTTGCGTACAAGGACTGAATAGCCTTGGTACATGGTACGTGACACTAAAAACTAGTATGTATACCAAGAAGTTGGTACGTCTGACATCATTGCAGTGTAGAAGCTAGGTAGCTTTTCGAAAGTTTGACATCGTTCATCATTTCTAATCTGCGCTCATAGCAGTCGTGCAGATTTCTTCTTTAAATTAGGATAAAAGTGAAACTTTATCCACAACTAAATGAAATGCAATTTTAAGTCTTAGCATTCAAACCTTCAAACTATCAGTACCCTTAGTACGAGTTTTACAATTACGAAAACTATGATAGTTTTCGTGAGCTCGCACTCGTACTAAGGGTACTGATTTTATTGTTTTCGTTTCAATACAAATAAACAGTGTTAAAATTCTATCATTAAATCATTTCTTCTTAAATTTTAAGTATATTTGGTTACTTTTCACCAAAATGGACATAGAAACATAATTTACAATTACGAAAACTATCATAGTTTTCGTGAGCTGAAACACGTACTAAGGGTACAGTTTATCCGTACCTATATGGTATCTCTCTGGGAATGAACAAAACCTTGTCCTTAATAAACAAATTTCGATAAGGCGCGTTGATTTTATTTCTGTAATAGCAGAGTCAACAACATTTTATTGTTATTTAACTAGTTAAGAAGGTTTCAATATTTAAGCTTATATTTCAAGCCTCAGTAGTTCCTTTCCGTGTCTCAATTTCGTGAGCCGTAGTCTATTGAATGTATAACAGAGTTGAGGCTCGCCTTGTGAGATGATGTTCTCTGCCTAGAAATGTACTTCGACTTCGACATCTCGTTGCGAAGCAAAAGCGGTAAAGGTCATTTGCGGTAACAACAACTCAATGCATTGACATCTTCCGCCGTAGATTAATTTCCAAAATAATAGGAAATAACTTTAGAATTTTGCCAAATTTTAAGTTTTCGATAATTCGATACCGAGGTTAAATCAAGGTTTCTACTTATTGATGCGTGGATATATCGATTAGCTTTTCATTAGTAGTTAGTTAATAGAGTTGTCTATGGCGAATGCTACACGCTCGATATTTATCGTGATATTTGGATCGTAATCCAGGATCACGATCCAGCGATCCGTTTCAGGATATGTGATACTCTATACTACAGACTCGATAAATATCGTGATCCTGCCCCTCTAGCATGACTAACAAAACGCGATATGATAAAGCGATTTATCGACACTCAACTGTCAAACTCCATTGTAGTTTGACAGTTAATGTCGATAAATCGCTTTATCATATCGCGTTTTGTTACTCATGCTAGGGGGGCTGGATTACGATCCAAATATCACGATAAGCGTGTAGCATTCGCCATAAAGGTGTTTTCGGAGATGAGAGGGTAAGTATCTAATATTATTTTGCATTTGATATGGCGCGTGGCGGGAACAGCGTTGCGGTCGGTGAGGCAGTGCACCGCTCGCATTACAGCGATCGTCTGCTAGCCATTACCGGCGCAATATTATGCAGTGTTAGTCTAGATCTGTTACCACGCACTACACGATTTTGTTTCGTTTCTCCTAGTAGTTTACCAAGTGATTTCGGCTTAATTTTTAAGCGGGAATATTTGACGTTTGTGAACGAATGATGTGCCGAAAAATGAGCGCCAATAACAGATTTAAAAAATATATTCGGCAATGGAAACCGTATGGCTGAATGTCGGCTGTATGTATGTGTAGTATTCAGTGTAGATACAAAATTAGTTTGGTGCTGTGAGTAAAATTTTAATCTATTATCTTTAGGTTGCGTTTCAGCAATGTACACATAGTCCCCAGGTACCGATACGATGATAAGACATTATCAAATAAATCTTATCACTTCAGCCTGATTGCACGGCGAACGTAAGCGCGTGACTGTGTGTAGTGGGTACCTATTATTTGAAAAAATACACAAAAATGCGCGCCCATTTTTTCATATTTCTATTTATAGTTTCACATTGTGTTAGTGATGAAGACGTTAAAAGTGAAACAGGTGTAGAAGAAAACTACAAGTTAATAAAATTAAGTGAAGTTTGTACGTGTAGTGAAATACCGGATTATGATGGAACTCACTTGGTTCTCAACGTATTGTGCTCAGAGTTGGACAGGATTGAGAATGTAGCCGATTTGGATAAGGTAGAGTGGCCGCCCAACCCTAATGGCTTGAAGATATCAGCTGCTTTTGAAGGACTGGGCCTCACCACCCTAGGCAAGTGAGTATATTCAGTAACATAACTCTTTTATTCATAGAACTATTTTTTAAATTGAATGAAGTAACACTAAGGTACTTCCACCAAAGTTCTAAATTCGAATTACAAATAATATTTAAACCTCTTTTTATACCTATTTGACATCAACCAATAGAACAAAGATGAAATGATGTATTTAAACACGATATGCCTTAAATTGAAATAGGAAATTTGGTGCAAGTGGGCGTAAAAGAACTTGTTAGTTGTCGATGTGGCTAAATACCATACACTTATTTATAATATGTTTTATTCGAATTCTTAAAGCGGGAATCGAAGCTTAGCTGTGCAGATTTAGAGCAATGGATATTCGGTTAAATATTATGTGTTTTTTTAATTTATTTATCGTACACAATGGATCTACGTAATAGGAGAATTCTGAATGAATGAATGTAGTGAATGAATCAGAATTTTGAAATTGATTTATGTATCTTGATCATAGGGCTGTTTCATGTCCAATGATTGGTTGCGATTACAAACAACATCACACACACCCTGATTGTCATTAGGTAAAGCCACATTCACGAAAATAATAAATAAATAATAGAATTTCAACTGTCGTAAAATCAACAACTTAGGGGTTTTTAAGCAGCCTGGATTCGAAGCATCGTACTTCACTATTCGGGAGGAAGTAATGACCGCTGTGATACCGAGACCTTAATGGGCATGTCAAATTTCTTCAAGTAGCTATAACATACACCGGGTTCACACGAAGCGAGTTTAGTTGATCAACTGCTATATAATTTGTATGCGATTTGAACCGACTGAACAGTTTTTCAATCAAATTGAAGGAAAGCAATTGAACGATAAAAGTTGATCAATTTAAATCGCCTCGTGTGAACCAGGTTTTAGGCTGCAAGGTGAGCAACTAAAATGTCAAATGAGACACCTTTTTTTCCAGTAAGTTGTGATTAAAATTAAAATTGTACCGGTCTCCGGCCTCAAATAAGAAGGTATATCATGATTGTTACCTACTGTTTTATCACACCCCGTAATAGGGTATTTGACATGTTTTAGAAAACGATCTCACGTTATTGACTAATGTTTATGGTGTCCGTAAAAAGTGGATATTCATCATTGTGTTATGTATTTCAGAAAAATATAACCAAATCTAAAACTCCATTTTCAAATTGCCGCGAAAACGTTTCTCTGGACAATATGGCGTCTTACTAGTGTGTGACGTCACACGACTATTATTAAAACGTCAAAAGGTAAAATGTAATGTCACTTTAATCGGAAGTTTACTTGCGTGTGACGTCATTTTAGGCTCCGCCAATCCCAAGCGTTTTAGGTCACGTGACAATAGATAAGAAAACTTGTGCTGACCTCTTTTCATGTTTATGGCAAAGATTTGAATTTTCTTTGATTTCATGACATGACATGAAAATTTGTGACATTGATTAAAGGATTATTATCAAGACGAATTCGGTTTATTAATTTATAGATTATTTTTATAAACTGCTTGAAATAAAACTATTATCTTTTTCGTGGGTTTTTAGTAAAATTATGAATATTTTTTTTGTAAAAATAGTCAAAACCCCTGCCAATATTCATTCTATACAGAGATGCTAACAATTGGCACTTTATTTTTTATACTGTCAAATACCCTATTACCAAGGGAAATAAATCGTCTTATGATCACTAAGTAAACGGAGTAGAGCACGAGAGCTCTCCTGTTATCTGATACTTGCCCTTCAGGGGGATCTTTTGTTTGTCTACTAATTACGTGGTTTGTTTGCGATTTCTTACTTCCATGCTGTGGGCGGTGTTCAAGTCTTATCAATTTATTTTTTTAATTTTGTTGGTACAGTTTAAGGTGTATTAAGAAAGTTAAGGGCACAGCGAATTTTCAAAGCTAGCTTGGGGAACCTGCCCTTTGACTTAAAGAACACTAATTTACGGCAGTTTTTTTTTAATATGATTCAAAAATTCAAAATTCAATATCGTTTATTCAGTCTAGGCTGTAACAAGCACTTGTGAATGTCGAAAAGCTACGCCAATGGTTCGCAAATCTATGGCGGGAGACCTTGTACTGAGAAGAACCGGCAAGAAACTCAGCAAAGGATGTTTTTTTCTCCATGTATTATATACAGAGTCGTCAAATTGAAAAATGACTTCAATATGAGGTAACTCATAAAGTCACTTTCCATTACAAACAAAAAATGCAAATAATCTAAAAATTATGACTAAATATAAAATAAAAAAATATATAAGAAACTGGTTAAACAAAGATTAGGAATGCCGTGTCCTACTGTTTAGGCAAAAAAATCAAATTGATGCTTAATTTGTTTTTACATTTAAAAATAATTAAGTTTAATTGACGTCTTTGAAAGCGGCAGTGAGCAAGCAACTTATCATATTATTTATTTATTAATACTTAATGCACAAGCGTACAAAGGCGGACTTTAAGCCGTAGGCATTTTCTACCAGTCAACCATAGGGTGTTGTGGATAAATAGTGGTAGGGTACACCACTTAGGTGGAAATTACAGAAAGACGGACAAATATAAATACGTAGTAGTCATATATGTATATAATTAAACATACCTAAATCCTTACTTACATAATAAATAACTATACATATATATACATATATAAACATACGCATACTAAATGTATGAGTATGTTTATACTTATGTATTTAACATAATAATGACGACTGCTTGATCCTGTAAAAAGCATCATAGCTTGGTTTTGAAGCTAATTTCGCTGGTGGACATTCTAATATCTAGGGGGCCTTTGTTCCACAGAAGTATAGTTTTGACGAAAATCAAAACACAGAGGCCTATTATAACTACTTATTGTTCTGTGGGTAAAATTTCTTTCACATAAATAGGTATCTAATTTTCGAGGAGGAAATCGTCGAGAGCCAAACCTCGAATTTTGCAATTTTTATTCGCAATTTTGCAGCGTCCGGATCGCACGGTATTTGCCACATAACTTATATTAAAGAGGATTTCTTAAATGTCTCACAGCTCGCGTCCGCTCTTAAAACTGTATCTAATCCATTCAGACTCTACAATAACTGTAGCGAAATAGTAAGTTGGTTTGCTTTAGTTAGTGACACGTATTTTTAATGAAGGCATTGTATTTGATGGATTCTAGAACCGAGCTTAGCTATTGACTAGTGATGTAACGAATGTCATTTTTTGAACATTCGCGAATGCGAATGCGGATGCGAATGTCTGGTACCGACATTTTCGAATGCGAATATTTAGTTATTTTTTTAAATTGGCGCCAGTTGTCTATTGCATGGTGGCAGTCTCGTTCGAATTGCCGAGTTGATATGAACTCATCCGACTGAAGTGTCATTCCGCTCGCGCCGGTCTTTCCGTAAACAAAACAAGTGAATTTTGAGGTTAGTGATTGTGAGTGGTAATAGTGATTTATTAACATGAGTAAATCGAATTCTAGTGAAACATGGACTTATTTCCCACTTTGCGATGGTGAACGAGCTAAATGCAAACTGTGTAACAATGAATATTCAAGGAAAGGCAGAACTACAACTTCTTCAAATTGTTTTTTTCTAATATTCATATTCGCAAAACATTCGCAGAGATTTTGCGAATGCGAATGTGAATGCGAATATTCAAAAAAATGCGAATATTCGCGAATGCGAATGCGAATATTCGTTACATCACTACTATTGACGTCACCACTTGTAAGCCACCACGTGTGGATTGGTGGTTGTTAAAGATAGCATCTGCAGTCAGCATAATTGCTGATTATGTCTTCCAAAGCGCGAAATAGCATTACGTAGTAAATATTTGGTGACAGACTGAATGGGTAGAGCGAATAAGTGGGGATAGAAAAAGATCGATGGGAGGATGAACTCTGCCGGAGCTGGCAGAACATACACTAGAATTGCTTTTGCTTCAAAGCACACAGATTACCAGAAAATAATAATAATAATATTCTTTATTTTAATACACCATACAAGACACACAAGTAAATTAAAAAAAAATATAGTTATAACATACACAATATAGGCGGAACATATAACGAACGAACGTATACAATAATAGGGCGTACATAAATATATAATAATCATAATAATAATTATTTATTTTGTAATAAATTACACGTCAATAATAAATTTCAGAATAGAAATACATAAAGTACTAACTAAATATTCAATTAGTTCAAAATGTCAAGATTAGTTTCTCATGTCGATTTCAAATTATATAAAAATACATCACCGAGTCAAAACAATTTTTAAACTTAAATAAAGTTAAAATGTCAAATACAAATAACAATAATAAAGCAAAAAATAATGAATTAAAAAATAAATAGCCATTCAATATTATAAAAAAGTATAAATAAGGATTGCAAGGATTTATCATTCAAAAACTCATCGACACTATAAAAAGTTCTGTCAGTGAGCCATAACTTTAATTTATGTTAAAATAATTAAGAGACTTGGCGTCAGTGACTAGCAGTCTTAATAAATATAACTAAATTATGAAACACTAATTGTAATTTTAACAAGGCTACTAAAAAAATGTATTATGACTATCGCCACCACCGATTGAGTGGAAACCTTTTTGATTTGTGTATTTTTAAAAAGAGGTAGTCTGTATCTCATACTCTCACAAAGTCTGTGCCTATTTAAGTATTTACGAATACGAACCCGATGTATACCTAAAATTTAGCATCTGGTAACCCTAACACTGACAAAGCTGCTTCATGAATCACCTAATCACCTTACAAAGAAAACTCGAATTGAGTATTAAGACAGTGAAGTAAACATAATTTACCATGATAAATACATTTAGCAGACTTTGTCATTCTAAACACAACGAACGTATTGCCTAATTTTAATAACTCTTCTTTGAAAAATATTTAAATTAAAAATTCTTGAGATAATTCACAACAATTATTTAGTCACCAACTAAGAGTTTTTACCTTTTAAAGAAAATTAGCAAAGAAAATATAAACATAAGTACAATTACTTATTTTTAATATAAT